TTATGAAGGATCTGAGGATGAATCTTATGATGATGAATTTGACGCACGTTATGATGCGAGAATAGGTGAAATTTACGATGGTTTCGAATATGAAGACTATAGCGATAGTGATGAATCTGATGATTACGATGATTAAAGAAAATTCTTTAAAATGGTTTGTTTTAAACTTCAAAAATCGACAAATTACATCGGGGGCTGTGAGTTTCTAAATTTGGTTAATAAAAACATTGCTCGAAAGAAAGAATATTACGTTAGTGCGTTGCTTTGGACAGTCTTTTTAAATACATTTTCATTAGAAACAGCATTGTAAAATATTATGAGCATGGGTTATAGGGTCTTATTTGGAGGTCATTCACGTAGAAAGAATTCATTATTTTCCGGTAGGTCAGTGTTGTCGGACGGATATTACATATTTAACTATAGATAGTTATATGTACCTATGCTGGATCGCAACAATTTCATGTAAAAAAATTTCATGTTTAAGTCAACATTAGCATTTACTAATACGCAATGATTCTTTTTTTTTTTTTTCTTGGTAAATCTACCCGTGTGTGTGACAAGTTTTGACGTAAAGATAGTTATTAAATAAGGTGTTAGTAACGTGATATAAAGTAAAACATTGGCCCATTATTGACGGTTAATAAAGAATTCAATATACTATGATGTAATATAACTTGTCGACTAAGTTATAATAAACCATATTGGATTAACATTTTCTAAATTTGAAATATTAAACTTGCGTAAAACAAGTTTCAGTTTAACCCACGACACTGGTGAAACCGACAGTGCGTGATCAGTATTGAACCATGTCGAAAAATTTAAATTTAATAGGGCATAATAAAGTTGTAATTTTATGTAGTTTTATGTAATCTTGTGTAAGTTCCTGCAACTTTAAACGTATATGCAGCATCTTATCTGTTATAAGGTTTCGTGTTGAATGTTTTGATTGATTTGATTGGCTAAAAATGGTTGGATCAACGTACGTACTGTAAACGTCATGTTAGGCCTTTATCTCAAAACGACATGCGCGTACTAGAAATAACACGCGGTGGGCTTTATTTCATGCCGAATTTTCATATATCTGTAATGCGCAGATGAACTTTATTTTCATAAAATTAGCTGCCCGCATTTTGTCTCGAATCGATCACGGGTGTATGTTTAGTGATTTGACATGTGACTTACGTCATTTGATGCTTTGCAGTGATTTTTTTGTATTGATTTCGATTGATGCATTATTGTGATTTATCGTATGATTTGTATCTGATTTTATGACATATTGACGTAATGATTAGTAATCGTTAGTATTTAGAGCAACTGGTTTTTTTTCACGAAAGGTATCTTCTGTTTTTTCTGCTAACCCGACTTTGTCTAGTTTTTTCATTCCACCCTACTCAGCCCTTGTGTACGATTGTATAGCAACTTGGGTCTTTGAGGGCTTATTGAGGCAGCATTTATTGTTTTTCTGCCCGTTTCTGAAGTATGGCCGGCCAAGGCAATGGGCAAGAGTTTTATGGTTTTTTTGTATATGTCGAAGCGGCCTGTCTAGACGACAGGCGTGAAATGACTCCTTATATGGGTTTAAGTGGTGGTGGCCTGTCGGGACAACAGTCACAGAAATTTATTGTGTACAGGGGTTAGTAACCCATTTTGTAATTTTGGAGCAATCGTAGGGGAATTTGGGGTTTTTTCCAGTAAATTTGGCTGGTTTTTTTCGCCCGCCCCCCTTACTATGTGCAACAGCCCTAGTAGGCAGTCAGTTTATCGAGTTCTGCACTTTAGTAGTATAGCATGTATAGCACGTGAGCGGATGGGACAGATAACCCATACTTGTTTTTCCAGTTTGTTTTGCTTTGTTTTCACTTTGTTTCAGTCTGTATCACCCCTCCTCGATGAGGGACAAAATTTTGGGACAACGAATCGATAAGTTGCTGGTGTTAGCCGATGTCAGCAGATTATTAATTCGGCCAAATAATCGTAGGTCAGTTTGAAAATATCCAATTTCGTGATGATTTAATGTGAGTGATTAACTGTTAAGTTAAATAAAATTTGAGCCAATCATTTATATGATATGGCATGATTATTGAGGATAAAAGTGATTTTTTGATCAGAGATTGTAAGCCTGATAATGAATTGCTTATGAATCGCTTATGGATTACGTATTTGTACCTGATTGTAACCTGATGCCTATAAATTTTTGTACGTATGTACCTAATTGTGACCTAATTGTGACCTAATTACTTATAAATTTAATAATCACTGTTTCAACTGGAGATTTTCGCCCATATGTTTTAGCTATTCTAGATTTACGAAAATATACGATGGCTTCGTTTTAATCATTTTAAAGTTAAATCTGTTATATTTATGATAATTAAAACAAATTGATTTGCATTTATAGCTATTTCATAAATCCTGGGACAATGAATGAATTATAACTGTTTCATAAATTCTGGGACAAGAAAAAATTTTACTCATTTCTCAAAATCTCGTCGTTTTCGTCCTAATAATCACCTAAATCTTCGAAACTTACGTCGATATTCGTCCGAAGACAGCGATATAATTCCGGAGTGTCAGATATTTCATAGGATGAAACCGAAGATATTATAAGAACGAGCAAATTTCTAGTTTTTTTTCGAATGATTATTCGACATAGTAAACAGTCAACTGGGCCGAATAATAATCGGATATTTTTTTTTAGTTATCATAATTGTTATCATAATTATGGCTTTTACACGTCTAATGAAATAATAAAAATATTTATTATGCTGCGTTTAGGTTTCTACATTATTTGTCAAGAGTTAAATGGTCTGGTCTAATTTCATAATTCTGGGACAAACTAAAATTTGCTTGTTTCCTGAAATCTTTTCAGTTTTATCTTATGAAACATCTAAATCTCCAAAAATTACATCTCCATTTCCGGTTCAAACTTTCTAGAATAACGTAATTGTTAGGGAGAAACCGAAGAAATCTTGGAAGCGAGCGAATTTTCAGTTTGTCCCAAATTTATGAGAATAGTTTGCTGCATGAAGTAATATTAATGATTACGAATTTGATCTGCTAAGAAATTTTGAAATTCTTATAACCTTTTTCCGGATCCTATGATTACTAGTCTCATATGTTGTTGTTTCGTCAAATAAACCTGAAATCTAAGAATTTCATATGTGAATGTTGCCATGAAAACAAGGAATTTTAGATATAAAATTCTTTACACAACAGAATGCGAGCTTTTAACCGAACAATCAAATTAACAAAGACTACGGTTCTTTTAATCATGTGTTATCATCATTTAAAGCCCTATTTCTTGTGTAAAGAACTTATGTTTAAATTTCCTTTTCATTTCATCCGCGTAATACTCCATTAATTCTGTCTATTAAATTTGTGGGCAAATAAACCATTTTCTAATTAAGGTATTAATAAGATATTAATAAGCTATTCATCATCACGCGCTATTCTTATTTTATTTCATTCACCTATTTGTGCTAATTAAGTGGATAAGACATTAAGTATCAAAGGTAGTTGAAATAAGTCAAATAAGTTTACTGTTATTTACTCTCATTTTATTTGATTTACATTATCTATATGATGATCGTTAATTCATGCTTATAAGCAAAAAAACAAGCATTTATAAATCATTAGGTTCGTTAATATTACTATCAAGAAATGCTTCTCATGTTATTTCATTCGAATTAAGAAAACCATTAATTCATTAACACCACCCAAATTATTAATAAATATCATCACCAATATAACCTGATTTATAATTATTAAAATTACGTGTCTGTATGATCATGTTCTAGTTCAAACTCCCCGTAATTTGACAGCCATAAATTCATAATATGGCAATAAAACGTGTTAATATATCGGTATTGTGACCTGCTTTTTAGGAAAAACGCCTATAGATCTCCCAAAAAAACATTAATCAATGAATCTATCCCAATTGGTTAAAAATCACGAGGGGGGCAAAATTTTTTGTGGGATAGCTACCGTACATCTTAGGAAATAGCTGATCTTTTTGAATTGTATATTAAACCTGTACATTTATAACTTTAGTTTCGTAAAAGTACAAGAAATTAAAATTTAAAAGAAAATAAACATCACGATTAAATGGAATAATTTTGTTTTAGATAAAAAGATCACCAACTTATTGTTAATCTTTAAAACAACAATAGGAAGAAGATTAACAGATTCATATTTTAAATTATAATAAATAGATTATTATTCAAAAATATTGGTAAAGAAATTTAAACTTTTAGGATTTTTTACTGATCTGGAATATTTCATATTCTTCCGCTGCAAAATATGATACACTCATTTTAAATGTAGATGCATTTCTAATTCGTTTTTCGTACGAATGTTTTATATGCCAACATTTTCTTTCTTGATTAAAATTCTCCTGCATAGCTAAATCACAACCTGCACCAAAAATTGGGCCACAATCACTATAACACTGAATTGCGTATTCTGGGTTTATTACACGACTTAAAATAGAATTTTGAATAGTACCATTTTTCAATGAAAAAATAAAGCTATCTTTGCAATTCATAGAAGAACCATTTCCTCTAGATTTATCCCAACCGATAGGATTATAACCACCAAGAATTTCATCAGTACCTTTAACCTTCATAACTACAAGAAGATGTGTTTGTTTATCACATAATTTCCAAAATGAATCTTTGGTAAAACCATCTCTAGTTCCACGAAGAAGTAATTTAAACTCGTATGGATTATTTGTTAAAGAATATGTATTTTCTTTTTTATCAATCCATGAAGCAATTTCTGCTGCGTGTACTTCATTTATAACTGTCGAAAATGGCTCTGTATTTCTGGTCGGTAATGTTGATGTTAAAATTTTACGAGGTGGAAGAATTGTTGATGACACTTGTCGATTTGGTGTCATAAATTTTCTTGTTATATCATCCCAAAGATCATTTTCTAGAATTTGTTTATATGGTTGTATGTTATCGACAATATCATCACCAGATATATGAAAATAACGAATATGAGGCAAACAATTTTGTAAAGTTATTTTTAAAGATAAAAAATTATCATGAGACCATTTCTTAGGATCGGATGGTAGGCCAGGATTTTGAGCAATCCCCCATTCAATAACACGGTTCCAAATTTTTACTTCTTCCATTT